GAGTGTCAATGGTCCATTTGAGAGATAGGTGGCGGTAATGCACTTATAAGTCTGCGATCCGCCGTAAAGCAAGAAGAAGAAGAAGAAGACGCATCACGCGCCGGCTGTCGAGGACGCGCTCAGGATGCGCTCAGGACAGTCAAATTTTCATTTTTGGGTGAACTATCCCTTAAACTGGGAGAAACGTTCATGGATCGAAAGAGAGTGTTGTTTTTGCTTTGTAATAAGAGTTCGGCACAAATGCGATTCATTGAGTGTAACCGTTTTTACAGCTCCGTGACACAACCCGTCAAAGGTAGGGTGACCATACGTCCTCTTTTCCCTGGACATGTCCTCTTTTTGGACCCCCCCAAAAAAATGCGTCCGGTTGGGATTTCTAAATCGCCCAAAATGTCCGGGATTCGGCTTTTGCTTTCTACAGTCGCCATTCATTGTATGCATTTTTGTATTAAAGCCCTGCATGGGACTGTTTTCTTAAACCCCCAATTTCTGACCATCGCCGCCTGCTCCTGCAAACATTCTAATGTTGAATATAATTCATATAAGAATATACTACTAAATATATTGTAGAAACTTAATTTCCTGTAAAGCTGCTTTGCAATGATTTGTATCGTGAAAAGCGCTAAACAAATAATCTTGAATTGAATTGAATAATTTTCGCGCATCAGGGAGCCGCTATCAATATGCGGAGTATTTAAATCGCTTTGGATGCAGCTCGTGTTGGATGCAGGGTTGCCAAATCCACATTTTATGCCACGGAAATGGGCTAATTTTAAACTGTTGCGGCGGCTTGATTTTCTCCCGTGAGTTGAAGGTTTGAAATATTGCATAAATTACATTTGACTAAAATGCTTGTATTGAAACATTTAGCATTCAACCTATGATAAAACTGTGGTAGATGTTAAGTTTTGTGAAAGATGATAGGAAGCCTTTTAGCTGTGTTTAAAAACAATCTGCAAAACGGTGACTGTAAAATAGGCCCTATGTATTTTAGTTATGGAAATGACATATTTTGAGTTTTGACACGGGATATGGTCATTTACGCTACTTTGGGGGCTACTTTAACCCCCCTCAAACACAACAACCCCCCCCCCCCGGCATCCTGCCCTCGCTGTCCTCTTTTTTGAAAACTAAAATATGGTCACCCTAGTCGAAAGGCTTATATAAACGCCACAGAATAAGCCTTAAAAGTTTTCCGAGGTTCAACAGTGCGTTCATATAAAGCGGAAAGACTGTAAATCTCTCCCTCACAGCAGCGTTTTCATCCATGTTAAATTCAACATGGCTTCTAACCTGACTAAGATCTATTATTGCATGTAAGTGGCATCCAGGTATCATCACACGATACAATTGTCTTGAAATTTAATTGAATATTGTGTAAAAATGTTTAATTATTGGATGACGCCAAAATTGATTTTTTAAACAAGAATTATTTTTATTCGCCACACATGGCATCATGGGATCTACACTATGTTGTAAATAAACAAAATCATCTGGGTATTCCATGCACTGTACCCAGTATGCATACTAAATACTGCATAGTATGTAAGCATGATGTTCTGAACATAGCCACAGTTGTCACACTGGCTGATCGTTGCACAGTGTTTGTCAAAGTCATGTGTTGTTCTTAGTTTCTCCAAGAAGGTCTTGTACAAGAATCGTCTCTATTTGGCATCCCTTCATGGTCACCTCTTGATACCAAATCAAGGTTCTTCAGATGGACACGAATGTTTCCTGTGCATGATTTGGGCTACTTATGCACAGCAGATTGAACAGACAAAATCCGTGAGTGAATTTCACACCTGAAACACCGCATGCATCACAAGTTCAGAAGTTAGTGGTATCAAAATGATTCCCTGTTGTTTCATGGCCTGTTAACTAACACGCTCTGAGTTTGCATCAAGACTATTGTTTAAAACACGTAATAAAATCTTTTCAATTCTGAAATGCTAACTAAAATAAAAGTTGAAACTTGGTGTCAAACTATGATTTGCAGGCAATATACAGTACAGTGGGCCAAAAAGTATTTGGACACTTAAAGTGATAGTTCACCCAAAAATTAAAAATCTATCATCATTTACTCTCTCTCAAGTTGTTCCAAACCTACACGAGTTTCTTTCTTCTGTTGAATGCAAAAGAAGATATTTTAAAGAATGTCGGTAACCAAACAGTTGCTAGTAGTTATTGACTTCCATGAAATTCAGTGGTTACTGTCAAGTCTTCAAAATATATTCTTTAGTGCTCAACAGAAGAAAAAATCATACAGATTTGGAACAACTTGAGGGTGAGTAAATGATGACAATTTTCATATTTTAATTGAACTATTCCTCTAAACCACTCATTGCATTGCATTGGATTACAAAATAGCACACCACTTAATGTATTTGACAGAAAGATAGCACAAGCACACTTAAAAAAAAAAAAAAAAAACATCACATAAAGCAGTTTTAGGTTTGAAATGATAAATGGCTGAAATCGTATGCAGGATTGTGACATTTTTATTGTCTATGCAATTTATACAGATTTAAGTGGGACTCAAGTGTCCAAATACTTTTTGGGACCATTTGAATTTTATTCCTCTCACAGCTGAACTCTGTAAGTCACGATTTTGATCATGCAAGCAGTGTTTTTTCAGATTGCATTACTGAAAGCATATAAATATGTGGAGTTGTGCAGCATTCATGGAGTTTCAGTGTGGGACTGAGAACAATAATGAAACAGGATGTGACATAAATAATACATTAAGAGGAAAGACCCCCCAACAGCTTTGTGATTTGTCTAAAACTGTTCAGTCTAGGAAAAAATGAACTTGCATTGTTAAAATATTCTGCAACATGTACACAAAAAGAAGTACGGAAGGGTACACGTGTCAGGGTTGTATCGGGGAGTATCCTCTTTATTATATTCAGTGTGTATAAGTTGTGTTTATGTATAGAAAATAAAAAATGTAGTGTTATAATTGTAAATGTTGGGTAACAAAAGATCAACGCTTTGAGAAAATAACACTGTAATGCTCTATAGGTACCATATTGTATTCATTTGATTTTGACTGCAATGATATCATTATGTACCATACCTGTATAAATGCGTGTGGGTCCACGCCGTCATATTTGTATATGATGATGTAATTTATTAAGATTATATTCTTACTGTAACTGTACAACTGTGTTGAGTAGAAACAAACACCTAAATTGAGACAGTAAAGAGCCGTGTAATGTAAATGCTATTTTTAATGTTGATTTGTACTTTATGCAAACGAAGGGATGAAGGTTTATGTTGTGACCGTTTCTCTTGCAGTGTAGAGGACGTGTGTGTGTTCATAGTTAGTTGATGTAAATCGACCTCCTTGCTGGTGTAGTGCCTCCTCATCCATAACATAATGTTCATTTATATATGCATAAAGTTAATGATGATGAACATAATGATGATCAAGACAATGTCAAAAACCTGATTTGAAGTTTTTGTGCTTATGTCAATATTGCAATATTAGATTGGAAGGAGAAAACATGTTCATTGAGAAAAAAACTTGCAAAACGTGTGCGCCATTTTTTTGTGAGCTTGTCACATTGAGAAATAGAAATTAGGTTCTTTTACCAAAATAGTTTACATGCTTCAGTTTTTTTTTTTTTTACCAATTCATTTGGAAAGGTTCACATTAGCATAAGGTACCTAATTAGAAAATTTTGTACAACGTTAGTCAAGACAAGTCACCTTTATTTATATAGCGCTTTATACAATACAGATTGCCTCAAAGCAGCATTACAGTATTAAACAGGAAAATAGTGTCCATAATGCAAGAGGATGATAGTAAACACTCAATTTTCCAGTTAACGTCAATTCATAATTGATTCAGTTGATAAAGGCGATTAGCACTTTTCACAATGCAAAATGTCCCCAAGCAGCTTTGCACAGAATAGTGTTTGTTAGGAAGAAGACGACACATTGGAACCAATACTCAACTGAAGAAACCCATCTCCTCACAGTTGTGGCCTAATGGTTAGAGAGTCAGACTTGCAACCTGAAGGTTGTACCTGCAAGAAATGTAGGTGGGACTGAATGACCAGTGCTCTCTTCCATCCTAATTAACCACACCTGAGGGGCCATTGAGCAAGGCACCGAGTCCCCAATTGATCCCCATGCAGCAAAAATAGGAGAGCACAAATTCCGAGTATGGGACACCAAACTTGGCTACACGTCACTTTCACTTCACCTTTTTTGTACGGTGGATTTTAGTTGATATATTTCATCAGGACCTGTTTCCTAAGAATCGAATCCATAATCTAAATAATGGTAACTTAGCAGGGT